TATTTTTTTCACTCGCGGTGAACATTGTCGCTGCATGTTAATGTCGCTGCACGAGGATTATTTATACCGTTCATTCTGACTTTGTGATCAGAATATGAATTTCACAATACTAGTGAAAATAAGTTGCTGGTCATCCTAATATGTCTCCGCAATAAATTAAATGATGAATAAAATCAAATTTTGTATCGATATCACCTTTTAATTCTTGCATATTCCACAAGTCAATATATTTATACTCGTACTGTAAATGTGACTACGTTCAACAAATGAGGTTGTAGATATTAATAACGCCATTAACGCCAAATTTTAGCATTTCAAAAGAAAACTTTGAAATTATTTAGCAAAAAAATCTACTGAGAAGACATACTGATTTATTTAAATTTATGGTTAAGATTTTACCTCATCTTGACATTTTGAAATTCCTGAATAATTCGTCTGCGTCTTTAAAAAGTTATCCAACCTTTTCAAAAGGAAGTATTTTCACAAAATTGGCTTTAAAAAAGTCATTTTTTCCATATATTTCAATGGTAGTTCAATGGAAAAAGCGTCAATAGGGGTTAAAAACTATACCGCGTTTACAGTACTATAACATTAAAACTACTAAGGCAAATTTAATAAAAATTGCAGATGATACGCTTTAAATTCTGAGGAACATTTTATCAAATTTTCAGGATATGTTTTCTCGTAAGAATTTTATGCAGTAAACCCACGACCTACCTTAACCATGCAATTACTTTAACGTCATATTTCACCACAATATATAAATTGCCATGCAAAGGAGCAATATCGTTTTTATCGTGAAAGGGTCTATAGCCAGGTTCGATTGTCGAAATGCGTTTTTAATATTTTTAACCTAAAGGGAAAAAGCAAAGAAAGAAAAATAATTTTTACACTGTAATATACATGTGTTCCTTACGCAGACGATACATGAATATCGTTCGATGGCGCACACTTTTTTATCCTACATGTCTTTATTTAAAGATCATTAGACAGATTGCCGAAACTCACAATGACTAATTTAATAATGTTTTGCATAGGTCTTCTGCATACTTCATTGGTTCAATACGTACAACTTTTTTGCCCGTTTTCTACTTACAGCTTCTCTCTCTTTGTTGGAAACATTCCATATTTTCGGCTTCACATTTGAGAAAGTGGGAGGGCTTATTAAAAAAGGCAGCTGCAGATTCCTTGATGGATTTTGCAAAATTGGCGAAAAAATGCACTGAAAGGTTGCACAAAACACAAAAATGGAAAATGCCGTAATTAGAAAATCGAAATTTTGCATTGAGTGACGACACCTATGAATTTGACTGAAATAAAATTGAATCTTAGTGACGTCATATATAGGTGTCGTCACTCAATGCATCAAAGTGTTTACTTTCAGGCAAAATTTGCGATAATTCCCGGTTCAATATCTTTCCCTAACGAATTGACTTATCTATTGTAATGAATCAGGATAATTCCAATTAGTGTTACAAGGGATGTTAGGTTTTACTTGACATGGGCTAACCTGTCTCCCTACAATGAAATAGTCCAGTTCTATGCTATATATATAGCGGGTGTTGGCAGATGCATTCATTCCATCTCAGAATCAGTATAGTTACGTTCGCTGCAGCAGACTGATCTAAGAAGTGGCCAGATAAGAGGATAAGTGACGACGCTGAATTAGCCGAATCAAAATAAGGTTACTTTAGGGCAGAATAGGTCTTATTGTATAGGGTGCGTCAACTGGTCGACCACTGTAGCTTTGGCATTGGAAATAAAGGATATACCCTAATGCCAAAGTGAACTGGAGACGCCAGTTGACTAGAGACTTTTGTCTAGTAACCTGGACTCTTGGTTGGGCCAGTTATTCAGGGACATTGGTTAGGGATAAGACAAGTGGTCCGGAGTCAAACTGACCCTTGATTTTGTTTTGCAAATCGTCAAATATATAGATTAAGTAAATTGTTTGAATAATAATCGTAAATATATTGATTAAGTTTGTGTCTTAGTGGACAACATACAAATCATTTGTCTAGATAATTGCACTGCAGAAATCCCGGGTTTAGCCGGGCACGTGTCCGCTTGAATATAGAGACTGCTCGGCCGGTCGAACGTTTCACTATTTATTCATCGAATTATATATTTTCCACTATAATGTATTTTTCAGAATGACATACAGTTTATAATACAATGTACCGTGTTGTACATATCGATATTGCATCTTTATTAAGTAATGTTTAAATCTGAATTGTTACTTATAAAGAAAAAATAACCTTGAACATTTATATGAAATGTGCAATTTGGGGACTCATTTCCATTTGCGTCAGAGGCGGTGTAGACAATTTTATGAGTTCCAGGGGAAAACAAAGATCCTGGTGCTTTGCCTTCTATTTGTGTGATAGTGGCTTCTCCTGAGTTATCAACAGCAGTGGGTACTGTCCAGGAGACCCTAGTTGGTTGGCTATTTCTTTCAGCATATCTATATATGTCTGCAGGGCAATCATTCACAATGGGTTTTTCGTTATCTAAAGAGAGTTATGGGAATATCATTTGTTCGGTCTAACACGACATACACTTAATAACCAGCTTAATGAAAAACAAGATGTGTTTGTGAAACACTATGCGCCCGGCGTCAACAAAGTTTAAAAAGCTATTTTTAGTATATAGGTCACAGTCAAGGTCAGAAGGTCATTGGCCTTGGTGTTGTTTGAAAGAATTTATTAGTGGAGTATGCATACTTAATATGAAATCCCTATCTCATACGGTTCAAAAGTAATGGCAAAAAGTGGAAAAAGCTATTTTAGTATATAGGTCACAGTCAAGGTCACAAGGTCATTGACCTTAATGTCGTTTGAAAGAACTTTATTAGTGGAGTATGTATTCCAAATATGAAGTCTCTATCTCTTATGGTTCAAAAGGTTTGGCGAAGGTTAAAGTTGACAACAGACTGACAGAGAAACAGACAGGACAAAAACTATATACGCCCCAGATCTATCGATCCAGGCGCGTAAAAAATCAATATTTTTGATATACTAATAAAAAGGAAGAATAGAAAGTTGGTATTTTAAAACCTTCCCTATTTTACTAACTCCATACACATTTTGGTTCAAGTGTCAATCATCATTTAAATTATATTATAACGATAAAACAAGATATGATCTGTTAACATGACGAATAATAGTTAATGCATGACAAAGAATCAATTTTTGAAAGACAAAAGTAAAATATAATTAACTAAATTTTGTTCAAACCTAATATTTATATACCTGTACATCCCTTTAAAGAGTTTGACCACATTTTATTTGCCTGGCATTCAATCGTTGTTCTGTCAAGTGGGGTATAACCACTTTTACAGCTTGTAGAGCACATCGTTTTGTATTCGTAGTCTGGAGAACTGCACAAAGCTTCACCATGTAAAGGATTCAAGGCAGGATCATCAGCTGGACATGAAATCGCTAAAAAAAGTTTGAAACCTATTCAATTAAATAACAAAAATGTACTACATAAAACAATTACTAAAGAATTCGACTTGGAGACATCAGAGTCGCGGAAAACTTTTTTTGAAATTTAAACTGTTTCTTGACTAGAAATAAAAGTCGGTTATTTATTACACAACAATGGCATCCCAGCTCTGAAGGCTCCACACCTTTTAAAATTAATGAATGAAGAAAAAGAACTTTTTAAGCTTTCATGTATTAATAAAAAAAATTCACATACTAAGTATTATTATGCATTCTGTTTCCCACTATAAATTTTATTGTAGTACGTGGATTTTTTCTTCAAAGATCAAATGACGGATTACATACACTATGGTTAACATATAAAGTTTAACAGCATGTATGACCGCTATTTGCACCATTCTTCTAACTTTGAAGCGTTGAACAGATGTTGGAAATGTTACGCTTTTTGCGTAAAAAAGAACAAAGTACATATGGCGTTCAACGTGGACAGTTTGGCTCTTCATGTAAAACCTGTCCCATTTAATCTCAAATTTCACATTTGTTGAACTCTCAGGCAGAGGTAGAAAACTCTCCTTTAATGTTGTAAAAAGTTACTTATAACACGTACAGTGTATAATCGTATACTTTCTTTTCTCATATTGCCATTATGCTGTTGTTGGAAGTGGGTGCAATAACGTTTTTAATGATAAATAAAAGGACCACCATTAACCTCGTAAAAACTTACAGAAAGGCGCAAGCTAAGCCAGTCATTATTTCAATGGTATGAAACATCTAGGTAATGAAGATAAACACAAGTTTGATACCACATTTGCTAAGCGATGAACAAAACAGTCCATGTTAAGAATCCAAAGAAAATGTTAAATTATAGATAAAATAACAAAAAAAACCCGACATTTAATAATTTTGCTACTTGTGATGAAACCTGGTCTAGGTATATGTATACTTTTGAGCCAAAACGAAAGAGTCAGAATTTGTGCATTAATGAGTAACAAACGTCCTGGTTTTGCTAAAATATAACGAAAAGTGAAGAAGGTTAATATTAATTTCAATTCTTTGACAATAAAATCATTTAATACAATTTCTTGTGCCAAATGGTAACCGGCAAAACAATCAGTGCTCCTGCATATACTACACGCATTGTGACAAAGAACTGAAAAATAAAAGAATTCATGGGTTCAGATTTTTTAGGAAACAACTATGGCTTTCTTTGAGGAGTTCAGTTCGTGGACGAAGTTACTTGAGTAGTAAATATGACCGAGACGTTTTCATTGAGACATAAATTCTCTTCTTACTTCGAGAAAAAGTTAATTAACCCCTACGAACAATTGATTTCAGAATATTCGGAGGTGGAAATGGTTACCTTCGACCTTACTGCCCTTTGTTCTCTAATGTGTCAGTTTATGATGAGTGTCCCTATTCAGGAGTGTGAAAAATCTTTCCAGTAGGTGATTGGCCGTTTAAAAAGTACATCCAGGCCATATGTGAGTTATTTGAAGTGAAAGAAGAAATGAAAGGAATCCATTTTTGCGACTCAAGGGTAAATTCGCTGTTTCATTACATTTGGAGCATCTTTCGAGTGAATACTTAAATATTTGTGTTATACCTTTACATGAGTTTGGGCTTTCACTGTGCATGCCAGATGTTCCAGATTTCTCACAAGTAATAACCTGTTCATTGTTGGTTGTTAAAGGCAGCATTTCATATCCTTCCTTACATGTTATTGTACATGATGATCCGTAAATGAACTCTCCGTCACATTTCACCTTGCTATAACCTTGTGGTTGTAAAACTTGACAGGAGATCACTGCAATTATTAATTTGTATATAGCCGTTACATTTTAAGTATAAATTCTACAACATGTATAAAAGGAATTACAGTTAAAATACATTTTTGTAAAACTTTGCCCTGATAGTTTTCCTTTGGCTACGGCTATAAAAAATATATCATCATCAAATTCAGAATCAAATTTATATTATTAGGCTCGGAGCTCTCAAATAGATTTAACATGATACATGTACGTCATCTGTTAAATATGTAAACCTAGCGCTGATTGCAAGTATGATTTGTTATTAGTATCAAATTTTTACATTTATAAAGCTTTCTAATTGACCAAGCTTGTTTTACATTAAAATGAATACGATATATATATTAACATTAATGAAAAAAATTACAAGGGGATCAAAAAGTAAAATAGCTTTGTATCGACATAACCACAGTTCATAGCAGAAAATCTTAAATTTAATTTGGGCTTCTGCATGACTTATAAATATCATGTGATTTATAACATTTTCATCCATGTTTATGCTGTCAAAATGTGAACATGACATCAGTATGTTTAGGACTTTACACAAAATGTTTACAGTTGTCCTTGAATAACACAGCGTAAAGAATTTAAAGTAACTATGGGTAAATCCTTTCAATAATAATCAATATTTTGTATATTGATTGATTGATTGTGTATTGTTTAACGTCCCTCTCGAGAATTTCTCACTACGTATAAGATGAATGAAAGGAAGGACATGCCAAAAGTATAATTAGTAATTTGTTTTATTGTTTCAAAAAAGGAAACGATATAGTTAAAAATCCATATATTTTTGAATGCACAGTGAAAGTAAGTTTTTTCTCATTTAATGATACTTTTGATTCCAATTGATTTTTTTTTTCAAAATAACTTATAATTTTACACTCCGAAAATTTATAAGACATGTAAATACATATGTATAAACATAAATGCAATTTTCATTCTGAACTAAATTATGGTTAAATAAAAACAAGTATAGTTATTTTGTTAAACTTTATGCAATTGTAAATTTAAAAAAATGGATTATTTTCTCTAAAATGCACACTAGTACCAAGGAAATGTGTACAACTTGTATTGAACAATTATAGGTAATTTACATATCCTTATACAATGAAAATAACAGCACATGAAAAGAAATTTACTAAAACGTATGCTCATTGATGCAATGCAAATAAGTTTGAAGATAACTTTCTTTGAATAAAGTGTCGTTAGCATTGAAAATTGAGATGTATATGAAATTGTGACTGGATTTAATGACAGTTCTTTCTCACTCCATACCTTTCACAGTGAAGGAGAAACTGCAGGTTGATTTGGCTCCCTTACTGTCTGAAACCTCGTATTTAACAGAATGCGATCCTCTTTTGAATTCTGAACCACTTGGACTTCCATAAACAAGCTTTAGGCTACAAATTTAAACGATTGAAATATGAAATCATCCGAGATATTGCATTGAACTCAACTTAAAGATATTGAAACAGATATTGTATATATACGTATGTAACGACATAACATACTCATTAATACCGTCTCCCTCGGGGTCTATCGCCGTAGGAGCAGACCAGGAATGTTTTGCAGAAGTCTTAGATCTCTCAGCATATATCACTTCTCCGTCAACAGGACATGTCAGAGTAGGAGGTTTGTTATAAACATGAATAACTTCTGGCTGGCCTTGTTGGGCTATCAAGGTAAAGAGTCTATCAAACAAAAGGCTTAATTTTGAAGAGCATATGAATAACAAAGCTTCACCTCAGTGTAACGACAAAAAGTGACCCCGTAGAATAATGACCAAAGGTCATTTCTCTACCGGAGGAACGTGCTTCGTTAATAAATTTTAACTCACAGTACATATAGAATATCACTCTGCTATTTTGATCTCAGCTCTGGTATCAGGAACGAGATAACAATAGAAGTGGTGTGACGTTGTTTTTATCATATATTTAAAGCAAGAGAAAAAACAAAAACATTGATATATTCCAATTAAAAATTTGTAGTTAGAAAATTAGTTATCTTTCTTTATTTAGACATGTTAGATGATCCTTAAGATGTTGCTCAACGTTGTATAATCATATATCGAAAGATTTGCCTGGTTTGGTCATTAAAAACAATAGTCCTGGTGTTTTGAAACATTTCACCTCGAAGCACATTAGATAACACATATTTAAAAGGTCCCAAAATATTCTATTTTCACTGTGGATCGCAGAGTGTACATGTACCTGGATTAAAACGTCTTCAACAAACCGCTACAATACATTTGTAATCTTGGGAATCAAAAGTTGTGCATCTTACCTTGGTTTCATGTTCTTGACTATTTCATGACCACATGTAAAAATACCAAATGTTTGTAACTGCGCGGGTTTTGTAACATGATTAATTTATGAAATGTATTTTGGTGAAAATTATTGCAACACAATTAAGTATTGATAGAAAATTAAACACTTACAAAATATATATTTATTACCCCGGGCTGGGGCGGAAGTGGGTATCCATGTAAAAGTGAATTTCTTTGTGTTTCTATAATAATATTTCTTCACTTAGGGCAATTATGTTAGTTTCAGAGTTGTTGTAAAATGTGCTTTATAAATTATAATTAATTTCATTCCAACATGTATTGGTATCAATCCTCTGTGAAAACTAATGTCAAAATAACTGTATCTCACTTCTATTCTCAATGACCGTGTAGTGTAGGGCAGCGCCGCGAGAAATCCATCGGCATCGAAAGCAAGTTTTTTGACTTGCCTGGATAGCCGAGCAGTCTAACGCGCTGTTCGTGCACTACTAGTAGATAGATTCCGAAGGTCGAGAGTTCAACCCCGGGCCGGGGCGGAAGTAGGTATCCATGTAAAATTGAATTTCTTTGTGCTTTCTATAATAATATTTCTTCACTTAGGGCAGTTATTTTAGTTTCAGAGTTGTTGTAAAATGTGCTTTATATTAAAAACTGTTGACCAAGGCCCGTTTTACTACACAGGAGGAAATTCCAACCATTAAAAAATGCGGAGATCCGAGATGCGGAACATGTTCATATTTAGAAGAGGGGAATAAAATCCAACTTAAATCAGGAATGGAAATTCGAAAAAATTCATCTATGAACTGTAAATCGGAAAACGTCATCTACTGTGCCATCTGTCCAACGTGTAAAGAATATTATATTGGACAAACGGGAAAATTAAATGCCAGGGTTCGTGTGCACAAGCAACAAATTAAAGACCCTAGTGTGCGTAATACACCGTGTTGTGAACATTTCGCAAAATGTGGCAAAGGAATATTTAAGATTTTCCCTTTTTATAAACTTCCAAATGAAAACGAAAATTTACGTTTGGCAAAAGAAGACTATTTGAGCCGTTCCAAGCAAAAACCCCCCTTATGTAATCTGACAGAATTTTACGTCACAATAGAAAAAGCGACGTCATTATTTTTCAACAAAAACTGCGATCAAAATATAACGCGCACTGACTGTTTTTAACTACATGCTTTGCTTTACGTTACAGAATTTTCTCCGTTGTGCCTAAGTTTCTGTGTATTTTCTTTCATGACTATTGTCTATTTTATAACATATCTGACACTCATTGTTGTCATACTACATGTGTATTACACATTAAAACGACCTAAGAGCGTTCTGATTAAATACATAAAATTTGTCAACACTTTGACAATTATTCTGTTCCATGTACAGTCAGTATTAGTTTTCAGTTAAACTAAATTAAACATGCAAATGTTTTTTTTAAAATTCAGTTTTACGAATCTTTCTTATTCAACAAGACAAAAAAAGAATTACATGCAATGATGTTATTGAGTGTAAAATTATTTTTAAAAAAGGAAGGAAGAATAGTTTGAAATATTTTTTTTAATCCAAAGTCTCGGCGAAAATTGATTTGACTTAATCACATGTCAAGAAAACTGCACAGGAATTAACACCAATCAAAACTGAATGACAGTATTGTTAAACCATACCAATGTCAGATCTAAATCCGGGGTATTTATTCATTTATTGTTGACCCAGAACTTCTTGGAAGAAAAGTGACACCAGTTCAGCTAACAAAGCTAAATTAATTGAATAGACGTATATCCGACATTCTCCTTTTTTGTTATGCGTTGGAAATATCGATAACTTGTTAATACTGTTGTAAGACCCCCCCCCCCCTCCTCCCACCAAAAAAATAAAGCATATATAGAAATAAATACATACATGTATATGTTTTTACAGAATTTCGGAAGTTCTGAAAAGTACCGTATTAGGCATGCACACGTACATTCTTTATCTAATTGCTTGTCAATTTATTCTAACCCCACCCCCGGGCATCATTGCATGCTAATGTTAACAACCAAAATTGACATTCAGAAAAAAATGTGGAAAGGGCCCCCATGCCCCCCCCCCCCCCCCCCCCCCGTATTTGTTTTTTATGTGCATGATTGTAATCACAATATTTGTTCATCTGAGTGTAAATCGAGTGTAAATAAAATACAGTTTCAAAATATCATAATCAATTTTGATTTTCCCGATCTACTTTTAGTCTAACATAGCAAGAGGTAAATGTTCGTAATTTTCACCAGGAAGATCACATGCAGGTGAACAACATAACCTGAATTTTTTTCCCACAATGTTAGATCTTAGAAAATCAGAGAGCTAGGATTATAAACACTTTTGTCGAATGATTTGAAATTCTTTTAAACGTATGTGCATGGGAAAATATCTAAGCGTTATTATTCTTAGTGGACCTGTACCAAAACAACTCTTTGACATTGTAGATGCAAATTTATGTGAAAAAAAATAAAATGACGAAAAATAGTGAAGTTTATTTTATCAATATATTGAGATTGCATTAGGAGACAATAAAATGATGGAAATCGTTGAATAAAAATGCAATTTTTAATTTGCTGTTCAACTGTTCAAATAAACATTCTTAAACAACGTTTGTAATCATACAGAATTTTAGTTTAAATTATATACAAACATCATTAAATGGTGATGTTGACACCAAAAAGTATACATAATTATGTTTGTCTGAAAATCACCTCAATTATTGCATGTCATTTAGCATTGCAATGGTATAGGCCTATAACTCATTAATTTCAATGGCTTTCCGTGTTTTTGAGCGGTCACCCATCCATGGGTTAAACATGCTCGCCGTTGCTTAACTTGACTGAAATAGAGAAAGACTCTACTGCATCCCTAGAAAAGCTACTATAAGTCCCCTATATACTGTGTGCTACAGATAAACACAAAAGTCGGATATATCTTGTACAAAAAAGGTTTCTAGATAACTTCGGAAATATCTTGTATAAAAAAAAGTTTCTAGATAACTTGTCTTTTTCATCCTTGGCAGTGAAACTTAAGGTGATGACCCTTTCTTAATGTTTAAATTTAAATAAATTGATTGTTTGTATGTTTTTAAACGTCCATCTCGAGAATTTTTTAACTCGTATGGAGACGCCACAACTTGCCGGTGGAGAGCTGCAAATATTGTCCTATAAACGGCACTTAGGGCCTTTGAGCAGTGAGTGATCTTTTTTGAGCCAGCACTTACTGCGGGACCGCGGCTTCATCCGAAGGACCGGTCTCCATGTAAGTAAAACCAAAAGACTAACACAAAAGTAACCTACTAAACTCCTTCCCCACTTTCAGAACACGTGGACTCCTTGTAAGTTGGTAAGGATGGTCAGGTGTTCGAATATTTGATGTTAATGAAGTGACAGAGAATGACCAGCATCCCCCACCCTTTGTGCACGCAATGGAATGTCTTTGTATGTGTGTAAAATGTTGAGTAGACTGTGATAGAATATATTTTACTAATATATGAGAAGCATTTTATTCGAAAGACGGTCCAATGTGCAGATTTCACACGTAAAACGTTCTCTTTTCTGTAATGTCCGCCTGTATGCCCGAAACCTGAACTGCTAGGGATAACACGTGTGTTCAATCAACAAGTTTATTAATAGAATAATTTGTATATCGAACCCGATCAAATAAACATATCAAGTAATCATATGTTACATCTCCCTTTCTTTAGAAAGATTAATACAATATGAAATCAAATTCAATTCAAATGCATACATGAAATGAAAGTTAATTTGACTCATCAATTAGAAATTCTGTTAATCAACACTGTTCAATTAGACAATTTCTAAAATAATTAAAGCAATCAATTCCATGCAATAAACTTAATTACTGAGTTCACAAATGTCAATGAATAGGAATTCAGAGGTCTAGTCGGTTCGGTTTCCTCACAACACGACCAGATGAAGTAACAACGGGTTTGGGTGAGTCCGCGAGTACGACACCTTTTGAAGAATGTTTGTTCAATGTGTTTGGAGGTTCGTGCGTATCAATCTCGGAATCACTAGCTGAATCCGGTTCTGGTTCCATTTCTGGCGCACGGTTAGCATTCGGATTTGTTCGTCTGAGATGTTTCCTGTTGCGTCGGAGCCTCTGATTGTTGTTAAACTCAACGATGTAGGATCTCGGCTGTTTGTGTTGTTCAACTACTGTTGCTGGTTTCCACTCCTTGGTGTTCGAGGTTTCTGGTGGACTTGTGCGGTAACTCTTTTACATGTCTCCTATCATAATAGATCATCCGATATCTAAGCGCGGTAATTCTTTCACATGTCTCCTATCATAATAGAACTTCTGCTTCTCCTTGATATCTTTCATTTGCTGACTTAGATTTGGTGTGCTGTATTCCGTATTGTTTGCAAAACAAATGGAATTCTCGTGAATTAAATGGAGGTCCATTGTCTGATCGCAATTTCATTGGAATCCCGTGACAGCTAAATGTAGCTTTCATAGCATTGACGACTGCTGGTGTTGTAGTGGATTTCAGTTCAATCGCGTCAAAGTATCTAGAATGATAGTCCACTATCATAAGGTACTTCTTCTGTTCAAAGTCAAACAAATCACATCCAACTTCCCCATAAGGAATCTCAGGTGTATTCGTTGGCTTAAGTGGTTCACGACTTTGTTTGTTTTGGTACGTGGCACATTTTGAACAGTTTCTGACTTCCTCTTCAATAGCTGTATTCATGGCGGGCCAATACATGACTTCTCTTGCCCTCTGTTTGCATTTGACAATTCCTAAATGTGACTCATGAATCAGTTTCAGCATGTGGGTTTGTAGACTTGGTGGTATAACGATTCTCAATCCCTTGTAGACTATGCCATCTGTGACTGATAAGAGATCTCTAGAATCCCAATACTCTCTAACACTAAGGGGTGTTTCGGATTTGATGTCTGGCCATCCTTGTACTATTATGCTACATAGGTCTGACAATTCTAATTTGGTACGTTGGGCTATGTCCAAGT